CCCCCCCCCCAACCCCCCAGCATACAAGAGGAACAAACGGCAGCATTTGTAATAATCAGCTTAATCCAGCTATTCGCTTAATTATTCCTATATTCCAAAATCAATAAACCAGCTGACATGTAAACACAAATTAGTCACTCGATTCCCTCCCATTAGAAGCCCAGTCCAAATGTCTGCAACTTCAGCCACAAAACAGTTTTAACATAGTCCAGTGATCTTTGTGGTGAATTAAGCTAAATCCACCACTCGGTAATCCGTGTACTACATTCATTCAACGAGCTGAACGAAAAGAATTCTGTTTGTTGTGATATCTTCTTGAAAATCGCTTTTTTTTATGACCAGTCAGAAGTAACGGTCTACAAAACTCAAATATACAACTGAAAACCTGCATAGACTACTATCGAATTCTGCTGAGCACTCAATACTAACAATTCCAATTTCTCAACTGCATCAGGAAAAACCGGCTAAACAGGCATAAAGGCCTCGCCGACTAATTCGTTCCCAACAATTACTTTTCGTTGGAGACTTCTGCTGACCAAGTATTCATTCTCTTTACCTTACTGCAGTTTATTCGCTCCCATCGGTTGCAACTATCTGGCTAAACAGTTGAAGCAGAACTGCATAAAATTTACAACTGATGAGCAGCATTAAAAAGCTGCAGGATTTTGGCACTAACCCGTCGACCCAACAGCAGCAGGAGCAATAAGAGCAGCAGCAGCAGCAGCAGCCTATTTCACACAGCAAACAGACATCATTGTCGTCATCGTCATCCGGGAAAAACCCGTGGACCACCTGGACGTTTGTATCGGGGTCGATAGTCAAAGCCCAACCCTCTGAGCCTCTCACCCAGTAGGTCCGCTGGGTGCGCCCTACTGCTGCTCCACTGCTTCTCACCGAGAATACGCTCATCCTTCACTCGCCGCCCTATCTCTTTTACCCTCTTTTCATCACTGCACTGCTCTGTGTCTCTATCCCAATTGTGGCGCGCGTTTTTTCCCCCGAAATTGACTAGAAATTTAACGCGGGAAAAGTGTTGCCAACTATTTTTGTACTATCTTTTTTTTTTTCTGTGTGCTTTTCGATAATGTGTTCCAGATCGTTGTCCAAAGATATGATGGAATATTAGAGAATCCAAGCGTCGTCAGATTTGAATGAACACATTGTAACTGGTATCAAATAAATTTTTTTTTTTTGGTTTTTTTGTTTTTTGAGTTTGGCTTTTTGTTCTGCTTTCACTTGCAGTTTCGTTGATCTTTTTCGCCAATTTGTACGTTTCTTCCAAAAAGTCATCCTTAAATGGTTTATTCAAGCGAATAGTTGATCAGGATTGTAAACTAAATTAACATGTGTATCAGTGGGAACTGTTGGATTCAGCCACTGCAAACATTTGCGTCACTGCTGGCTGTCATTGCTACTGGCTGCTTTCGATGAGTCCATTCTTGACACTAACAATTGAGCGTTAGTATCTTTTCACTGTTTTCATTTTTAATTCGTACCATCAGAAGTGTATATCTGTTATAGTTATAAATTTTTTCGGGAAAAGTCTCAAATTGCGTGATCTTCGGTCATCGCTATTAAAAGGACTTAGTAATTTTAGGGCTCGTTGACTGTTAACATTCCCAGTTCTGTCGAGTCTTAAGTGGTTCAAATTTTCCTTTTGTACTTCGAAAACTTTTTTGATTTTTTGTCCAATATTTATTGCTATCCCATTGCTATTTGTAAGGACAGTAAAATTAATGCTCAAAAGATGCAGTTGGCCCACTTCCGACTTTTTTCCAAACTTTTTTCCAATTGTTTCTTCTGTTTCAATTTCAACTTTTTTGATCAAATTTATAGCGGTAAACGTAACGGTTACATGCCTGTTCTCATTTTCTTTAACGAATTAAAAATTCAAAATAGATGCTATTTTTTTCATGCTGCTTAAAAAATTGTGGTTGTTCAACAGTTACTGATTTTCAAGAGAAATTAAAATACCGATTTTGAGAGGTGTTGTCTTTTATCAAAGGTTTTTAATTATCATCTATCTCAGCAGAACTTGGCACTCAGTTTCTCGCCGATTTTTTTAAAACTTTAGAACGCAGTGCTTCAAGATTAATAGACAATGGAACAGCGACAATCGTTAAACGAATAAGTTTATAAAAATGGTGTCTGTAAATGTTTCCGTTACCATTTTACACACATAAACGCAATTTGTTATGCATTTCTTATGAGATATATTTTTGCAAAATTGCGGAAATGCGATGAGCTTCTAGGATTTTTTTCACACTGATGCTTACTTACATTAACATTTACAGTGTAATTTTATTAACAACTTTTTCTTTGACTTATCACGTGAAGGTTTTTCATTTATTTTACTCATAATTTTTACATCGAGTTGGAAACTAGTGAAGTTCTTAAGTTGTAATGTCCTTTATCCGATCTTAACAACTATATTTTACATTTCAGGGCTGTCACGCGAGACATTTATTGCTATATACAGTTGGATAAACTTTTGAATGGAGTGCTCCGAGAAGCAGTATCAGCTGCTTCAAAATTACAGTTTCAATGAACCGACAACTTCTGTTCACAACAGTTATGGAAGTGTTCCACCAGTTAGTGTAAATCCAACATTTCGAATTGACCCACCCTGTCCATCAACAGATATTGATCAGTGTTCTAGTCAGGTTCTGACTTTTAATGATGCACCACTAACAGACTGTCAGGAGAGGCCTATAGTGGTCACGGGAACCAAAGCCAAGAGGAACCTGGGTTATTCAGTTTATGCTGAAAACTTCAACAAGTTGTTACAACGAGGGTCAGGAACTAATCGGCGAAAGCCAAATATGCGAGTGGTCGGAGAGGAAGAAGAAGTGGTATATTATGGAACTGAGAGCAATGAACAATGTGGAATTGCTTTTGATGAGCGTGATGAAAGAGAAATAGTTAAAAGCTTGCCACCAGAACAGCTGGAGGAACCGACTGAACAACCCCAGGTAAACGTTTTGATAACTTTTATCAAAGCAACTTAATTTTAGGAGTAAGAAGATTAAGGATGATTGTATTTGTTGTTAAGCATAATATACATTTACTAATAATATGATTTCGTAATATTTCTGAGTTTTCTAGTACACACGCAGGTTAATTGCAGTTTTTCTAGGTGTCTATCGAGTCTGCAACTGTTGATTACTGCCCAGATAACGATTCTTCATCCTCTAACCTTAGTAGTCTTCCTAGAAATCCAGCTGACGGCGAAAAAAGAGAACAAGATTTTTCTTCAGATCGGTTTAAAACTAAACCGGCTATATCATATGCAACTTTGGTCGCTTTGGCTTTGAAAAATAGTAAGAATGGCTGCTTAACTGTGCAAGAAGTGTACGATTTTGTTGAGTAAGCTTATTCATTTGATTCGTTGAAGGTTATTGTGTTGTACAGAAGTATTGTTGGCAAGCTGGTTTCTCTATCATTCTTTATAAAGTTGTTTGTGTTTATACCCGTCGCTTATGCTTTTTAACAATCTTTTTTTTTAATTGCTTGAATTTAATCTCTAAAAGGCAAAATTGTCCTGAATTCATTGATATTATGTTTCTTTTGATTGTATTTTGTTTCCAGCACTAACTTTCCTTTCTTCCGGACTGCCAACAGTGGCTGGAAAAACTCGGTGCGCCATAACTTGTCATTTAGCAAATACTTTATGAAAATTGAAACTAGGAGAGGAGAAGGTGATTCTCGTAGATCGTATATATGGACTGTAAACCCCGCTAGGAGTCAGGAATTGGAACAGTCTTTGGCAAAATTAATGGAGAGAGACAAAGAGAACACGTTGAAATGCCTTGCAAATCCAGGTAAGTGCAATGTTTTGTTTGTAGATGCTGTTTTACAGTTAAATTTTTATATTTATTGTACCTTCGTCCACTTTGACCTCATTCAAATAGTTTTTGCTGTCAGTTAGGCCTCTTTAATATTTCTAGACGACTTCGATGCAATTCGGACAGGAACTCTTAATTTTAAGTTTAAAAGACCAGGGCGAAGGAAACCTATGGTGCAAATTGGAAGCAAAGATCCAGGTTTGTCACGTTCATTTAGCGCAGGTACAAGCAGACAGGATGGGAAACCCAATCATTCAACTAATTTTGGGCCGTCTTCTCAGCTTGCTTACAGTAGTGGCGCTACGAAAGTTCAAACATTCAGAGGCCCCCGACGTGTGTTGAGTTTTGGTGCGACACCTACGGGGGGTGTATCCGAATTAATTGAGGATGCCAGCAGAAATTGCTCAGATGTATGACTTTTAAAGTTTTTATCCGATGTCTTTAAAACAAAAATTTTTCAGTTATAACGTCATCTCAAAAAATTTTGGTGTTGTAGGATAGTGCACAGTATAATACGTGCCCTTTACCAGAGTTAACGAAACTTCTTAATGAAAACGACGATGATTTATTATTTTGCCAGTCACCTCAGGTTTCAAATTGGTTGTCTTTGATTTAGATTAGTTGTTTCTTTCACAGCTGTTAAATATTTGAGATTTTGATTTAGGCTTCGTCTTCAGTCTTCGCAGTCACAAGATATCCGTCTTCACCAGAAGTCTCTAGTGATGTTGAGGTGTATTTTTAGTTCTCTTTTACTCTTCTGATTTATATCTGATTTTTGTTTCTTTATCACAATTTTTCAATTGTTTATCGGAGGTGTTTTTTGCAGCTTTTTGCTTATCTTCTTAAGACTTTCTGTTTATCTTTTGTCTTTATTCTTGCCTTATCAGTGTTGTTTGAGTCGGCTTACGAAATTTTCATTTAGGGTCTTACGATGGAATCTTCACAGCTACGAAGAAATGAAGTGTCTGTGTGCAATGATCTTAACAAGGTGCATTTGGTAGATCCTGTTAGTACCAGTAGCGTAAGCGAAGACTCTCCAGATGTTTTCCATGGCAGCTCTCAACTTAGTTTGACTGATCTGGAGTTGGAACGTCAGTTCCAGTTAACACCTCCATGCAAAATTGATTCCACAAATTGGGATGATATTTCAAATATTGTTTCTCCAGGAAATGATGTTATGCTCTCTGACGCCATTGTAAATAAAGTAAGTATACTTGCGCTGTGGTGTTATTCAAGCTAAAACTTTTGTTTAAAGTTAATTTCATTTCATATTACGGTTGACATCTTCCTCGTTTTCTTTTGAGTTTTATAAAGTTTCATCTTCTTTCTTTGTGGGGAGGTTTAGTGGCATTTTAGAGTCCAGAGCAGGACCTGAAATCTCCAAGTTTTGACCAGTGGCAATATGAACCTGTGACTCCTAGTCGCTGGACTGATTTTGGAGGGCCATGCCGGACACCGCAGTATAAAATTGCTCGGAATCATCTTTTGTAAGTCTGTCTTTGATAATGTTTTGCTGTATTATTGGTTCTGATTCTGTATAAGATGAAATTTTTCAATTTTTTTAGAGTTTGATTGTATTGGAACTGTTGATTGTGAGGTATACCTAAAATATGTGAAATCGTTATGTAAGCAGTGGACACTACTTTTCCACTTCAGCTACTCCTCATATCACCAGTGCTGCTCTGTTAATTTAAATTAAAGCAGTCACATTTATTCAGAATGGAAGAGAAGAAGTTTTGATTTGATTTTTGGTTATTTAAAGCATTCAAAAAAGTTTCTTTTTGAAATGCTTTAATTAGTAAATAATTGGTTAAGTTGTTGTACATTTATATATTTAATTTAGCTACCCTACCTTTGATAACTCCTTGCTTTATTTCTAAAGTTTTAGTCATACTGTTGAGTACTGAGCGATAGTAATCACTTGTAACGATAATTATCATTACCGTTTTTGTTAGGATACTTGTGTGTATATATAATCTTCTTCCTAGAACGTGCATTATTTGAGGTAAGAAATTCAGTTTTTGCGTTATTAGTCTTCTTATTTGTATACTAATTCTGAAGGAGTATTTGAAAGAACCTGAAGGGTGGAGGACAGTTGATTTTTTGAAAAGCAGTGATTGCATTTGAAAGTATTCGGGAGTCTGCTTGATTTTATGCTGTTGGCTGACCAACGTGGTTTGTACAGTTCACTGATTCACACGGTCTTTAGGCCTTAATTTATGCTGGTTTTTTTTTCTACTTTGTTTCTTGATTCTATCTTGCTTACAGCAGGAAGAGATCTGTGTGTATGTGTGTGTGTGTCGTCTTTGGTTTATTTTAATCATAACTGATGTGCTTTTTCTTTATTTCAATAAATTATTGAATACTGGACCGTTAGTTTAATTGACTTGGTAGCATGAAGTATTGTTTTTGGATTTTTTGCTGAAGCAAAGTTGGAGGAGTTAAATGGGGTCTCATTGATGTTCATTAAGTCTTACAGAGCGGCGCCTGTTTGTAACTGTAGTATTTATGATATCGATTTTGCTCACATTTGATTTTGAGCGGTTTGATGTGTTTATTAGATCAAAGTACAGTGGCAGTGTTTGTTTTAGGCAGGCAGTGAAGCAGTACTTTAATGACCTTCAGTTGCTAAAAGATACTGGAGAATGCGGTTGAGGGTATCTGTGTGGTGCTTAAGTGTCTTTGTGGTCGTTCCATACGATGAGTGTTTTTGCTTTTTTCATTCTTTTGATCGCAGTCTAATTATATCCGTGTTTATTCAGCATGAATTTGTTGGCAACACAGTTTGTGGACAAATTTCTTCACAGTAGTAAAATGGTGACATTTCATCTGAAACAACGGGTTGGTCACCGTTTGCGTAGTATCAATACTTTTTTTACTTTGGGAACAATTATTTTTGTAGATTAGAAAGAAGTAAAAAAATTTTGAAAATAAAAAAAAAAAAAGAAAGAAAAATGAAACGTTGCATGATATGATGCAAAAGAAGTTTTTGGAAGGTAACAACACAAGTTTTTGTTTAAAAAAGGGTTTATTGAAAATGTTTTCGGTTAATTTTTCAGTTGTAGACTTGACAGTTTCATTGTTTATAGTTTTGGATAATTGATGTCGTTATAATAGAGTTGATTATTCCGCTGATAATAGAAAAACTATTGCTGGTTTAACAGATATGTAGGATGTGAAAAATGCCCTGTTACGAATGTCGACGAAAATAAATTTGCATTTATTAATTTTTATAAAGATTAAAATCCAGAACAGTAGTTGACAACAGTATTCAATATATCTGTTTAAAGTTGAGAATCAGAGTTTTCATTCTTTACTTCAATGCAAATTCTCAAAAGTTTTTCGGAATTTTTTATGGTTTCTGGTTATACATCAACTGACATTTCATTTTAATCCATCTGTAACTCTAACATCATAACGTCAGTCGTATGGTAACAGAATCTTCCATCTTTATTTTTCAAAACTTCTCAAATAAAATTATCGTTGGTTTCAGATTAGAAGAACTAATCATTCTCCTTTCGAAATCGCAGAGGAAGCTGTCTGCACGATGCTTTCAATAATTTTTTACTATAGCCAAAATCTTGGTCTTCTTGAAAACACCATACTTAATTTTTGAAAAGAGCTTGCGGAATAAATTTAAACGTTTCTTCAAGTAGCTGTTTGGTAGTAATAAGCGCTAATTTTGACGCTTTTGACAAATTCTGGTGGTGATTTATCGACTGCACATATGCCCTCCTCAACTACAATCAATGCTGAGTATTGTGGCTTTTCACGGGGTCACGGCAATGGAACGTAAAGAAAACTAACAATAAAATTTCTGTTTCGTGCTGCAGATTAAAAGTTTGATGTGTCGTAAAAAGCTTCTTATCGATAAATACAGTATTTTGAATTTTATAGTTCAAAATTACTGTGAATCTTAGAACTCTGTTTTTTTTTTTTACATATGTTCAGTAATCGTGATATTCTGCATTTTTACTTACGGGATAACCGGAATGTTTCAACAGAATTTTTTGAACGAGATACTACTTCATTTCAAGTTTTTTTAAGTCATTTTTTACATGTAAACCTTTTATTGCCTTGGTGAATCAAGAAACTAACTACAGTAGTCATAAGTTTACTAACTTCTGTACGTGATCAATCACCACCTGACGTTTTTCCTATTTTTTCAGTTTTCCTAAACCATTTTTCTGAGTTTTATAAATTTTCAAGGGTTGCAGTTTTACGTTGATAAACTCTATCGCTCCTGCTTTCAACTTTGTATAGCTCAATAATACTTAATTATTGCGTTATTTATTCTGCTTTAAATGCATAATTTCGCTTAGAATTAACTAACAGATATAGACTTTTTGGGATCAACAAGTGATGATGTACCG